CATGTACAACTGTTTCCAGGAACTTGGCCCAGAGTGATACACATAGCAGCTGGGATCAGGCAAGAGCCAGGGGTTTGAGCTGGAGACCAAAGTTGACCAAAGCTTTCAAGAGTGTTTGGACTGTTCCTGCTTTCATGGATTAGAAGGGTGAAATTTGGGAAGAGGAATAAAAGCATAGGATCCCAACTTGATCCCACGAATCTTTATTGTTCAAGGGGAAGGAAATGGGGGAGGATGGGGAGTTATGTTTGAAGTTGAATCATAAAATAATGATTTGCAAAGTGGCTTATTCCCCAGGTGCGCATCAGCTTCCTTGTTAACTTATATGTCACTTTTTCCCCTCTCTTGAATGACATGGTGATGCACGGCTCATGCATGCAGTGGTTGTTGCACACATCTGGGCAGTCTGTACAGATGAAGGAGGAGAGAGAGAAAAAAGTGGGATTTCCTCCTCGTTTTTGAAAATGATGAAAGAGAAGCCGTGTGGGACAGGAGGCTGCACCCAATAGGTGCTTCACTCCCTGCCAGTGGGGAAGGATAAACCATGGCCCCATTTGGCACTGTGTTAAGAGGCAGCACTGGGAGAAAGAGCACCAGACCAGGTTCAGCTCAGCTGCTCTTGGCACAAAGCTTGTTTATCCTGTTTGCCTGATCTCTCAGAGCATCATTCACTCCATCCCCAGACACATGCTCTTATGATAATTTCTGTAATTCTATTACCTTGGAGGAAATAGGCTTTACTGTCCATTTGATTTTATGTCTTTTTTTTCCAGAGAACTTGGCTGCTTGTTTTTTTAGTTTAACCCTTTGTGGATACATTTTTTGTCTTCCTAGAGCCATTGAGACTAGGTGTCTTCCCTTTCTGCCTTCTCGGTTTCCATGCATAAGCAGCATTATAACTGAGATTTTTGTTTGTTTCTTTTTAGTCCCAAATAGAAATGAGTTAATGCTTCAAAGATCAGATCATAACATGTGTTCCTCAAAAGGCAGTGCTTATGTCTGAATAATATGGAAGCATCTGATCTGCAGAGGCAGCAAAGAGCCGCTGCAGCAAGAGATACAGGTATTTTAGCTTAATTTGCCTAGCTGGTGAAATTTTCAGTGGTGTTTGATGCACTCATATTTTATTTCTAACATCATGCTGGAGCTCCTGGTAAAATCAGCTCAGCTTTGTGGTAGGATTATTTTTATGGTTAGGGAGAGTGACGTGATAAAAACACATCACCATGGCTGCACTGCAGAACTGCACAGAAGACGACCTACCCAAGACAATCTGCAGGAACAAACTGTGTAGCCTTTACTTTTTAATAAACAAGCCACTTTTAGAGGTGTTTTGATTTGTTAAGAATCATTACGATCAAATCTTAATCAACTCAGATGATGAGGAAAAGAATATTTTCCCCACTTTTGTCTAGAATATTGATGGTCTTTCTGTAAAAAGCCAGGACTGCTGGTCTTTCTAGTTTCCCGTGACCGCAGGGTTGCAGAAACAGTCCCCAATAAACTCAGCTGGAGGCAGATGGTATTTGTGTGTGGTGGCGTTGGCACTTTGATGTGTCCTGACCGAAGAAAGGATTGGTCAGGGTTAAAGATTTCTGTAATAGTTGGGAATAGGGATGGAGCCAAGAGAAGCTTTTTTCCTCAACAGCAGGGAAGCAAAGGCTGGTTGCACATTGCCATTGAAAAGCAGTGAAAAATACATTTTGAGTGACCACTTTTCCTCTTTTTCTTAATGAAAATAATTACCATAAAAACCCTGAAAAGTGGAAATTTTGAAGTTTGTTTTGTTTGATGAACCGGGCCCATACCGTGTTCACATTCGCCTCCAAGGTGGTATTTTAAATGTTTCCTTTTCTCCAGAAATCTTTTTTTTTCTGAATTTTAACCAAAAAAATCAAAGTGGGAAGATCCTACAATTCTTTTGACAAGTTAAACTGGGAACAGTTCTGTGTATTACGTAGGTGAAGCTGCTGAGGATTAGGAAAAAATAGCATTTCCCATTTTGAAACGACAGTTTTAGGAGGTCAGATTTTGCAAAATTGTAGGACTTCAGGTGAAATTTTCCATTCTGGAGTTTGTCATGGATTGAATTATTTCTGGAAACTTTAAAAAAATACTGTGGTGGTTTCCAAGAACATAACTAGTGAAGAGTATACTGCTTCACTTGTGCTTAAAAAAGGTGTATCCATCCACAGTGTATGGAAAGCACCAGAGCCCACCATTTCCTGGGTGAGGAGCTCTAGTTCTGCAGGAATCTCCCTGGGGCCAGGGATGTGCCTTTTGAAAGCTTTTTCTGGGTTTGTCAAGTCTGAGACCTCCATCTGCCTGTGCTCTGTGTTAGCTGCTAGCTGAGCTGCCAAATCCTTTCTAAAACTTTTGTCTATGCTGGGGATAATTCAGCTGAAGGCTGCAGTTACGGAGACAAGTGTTATCAGTCATTACTGCTCATGAAGATAAGGCCAACTATGAGATGAGAATACTGGAGGCCTCATTTCAGTTGCATTCAGGCAGTGAGGTGGAGGATAAGAAGAGGGACCAAGGAGAACAGTAATGATTGGTAGGAGGGTGAGAGTGGGAGGGAGCCAAAAGTGCTGTTGGTGCTGGGTGAAAAGAGCAGAGAGAGGGGCCTCTGCTCTGCACAGGAGCAATGTCAGCTGGGTGGACTGCAGGGGCGGTTGGTCGGCTTGCTGCATCCCTGGTAGCTTGGCTGGGTGAGTCCCTCTCCCTTCTGCTCTGTAGCAGCTCACATGAGCGTTTAAGTCTGTGCTGAGGCCTGTGCTGCCTCTTTCAGGTTCACTGTTCAGGGTTATCGTGGGATTTAAAGGGGCTTCACCTTTACAGTGCGCAGTGCTGGCAGCTGCTCTGGCTTCCCCCTGCCTTCTCTGTAAGCAGAAAAAGCTGCTTAGCAGCTGGGGCAGCGTGTGCACGAATGCTTCTGATGCCACGGCAGCTTCTGGCGTATAACCTAAAGGGGAGGAGCATCTTACTGCATGGGTGAAGGCACCCCTCTGCTCCTGGGTGGCTGCCTGTGCGCCATCTCATCTCACGGCTGTTGTTTCAGTTGTCTGCAAAGAAATAGCTCTGCTCTCTTGGCTTGAGAAGAAGACATTTGAGGTGAGGAAAGCAAGTTTGACCCATTTAAACTTTACACCACCCACCAGTCACCCTGGGAAATGTCCAGAACATGTAATGTTTGGGGAGTTGACCAGAGTATTGCCACCCTCTGGGAGAGGAGGCTTCTGCGGTCACAGGGCACACCTGCATTGATAGGGCTGTCCCACAATCATCCTTCACCTTCTTGCCCTGGCTTCAGCAATGGACACAATTACAGTGCTTAGAGGAAGGGGCACTGATGGGGGGATGACAGTGTTACAAACATTCCTCCTTCTAGCATACGACCTAGGGAGATGGTGCTGCTGCTGCTCGTGTAGCCTCACCCACCCCACCTCTTATACTTTTTAATTATATCTTTCCTATGCTGCTGTGCACCAGGCCACGCTGCAGTGCTTATGCACCTGGGAGAGCCCTCTCTGCTCAAGGGTGGGGGTGTGAGTGTGTGTGGCAGCTGTGCTGGGGAGTCCAGCACATGGGCAGAGAGGGAGTGAGCACAGGAATCAGCAAAGTTCCTGAAGTTGCTCTGAACAATAGGAAAGGTGTTGGTGTAGCTGTTTTGTTATGTTTAAATCTATGTAGTTACCTGTAGCTGCCTGGGAATGGTGATCTAGGTAGAGATTTAGTGCAGTTTTGTTGAGGATAAATAAAACTGGAGCTGTCTTCATCCATGGCTTCTTGAAGAACATAGGTTTAGGTGCCAGCTAATCCTCCCCTGGGACAGGTGAGCCTCAATTCCCCTTCACAGGCAGTAGTGGATTTTAACAGTTCATTCACCAGTCATTAGTTGTACCTATCAGTGGTGGTAAAATTGTTATGTGTTCTGACAACATCCCAAGGAAAAGCTGAGATTGGTTTAGTTTGAAAGATACCAGGAGCCCAATTATCTTTCTGCAGGTTACAAGCTACCTGGAAAAAGTGTGTTGGGATTGTCCTGTGATGGGAGTCTAGGGCCTTGATCTGTTCTTTGCCAAAGACTTTAAGACCATACGTGTGTTATGTTCTTTCCTAGATAATTTGTTGAGGATTATGCTTAAACCTGCATTGAAATCTCCCCAGTAAAACATGCAGGTCTGTTTGTTCTCAGGTGTCTTCTCATTCTAGCTGCCTTTCACCGCTGTCTTCTCCAGATGTTTTCCTGTGCGCTTAGCTTTAGATTCATGAAAGTGTATGTGTACCCCAGTTACATGAGCTGTTAAAGTTACAGGAACATTTCAGGACTAAATCTATATAAAGGAAAATTTTACATTTTATTTATATTTCATCAATAAGCAGAGTATATAAATGTTTGTTTATTGTATATTAATTTGGCCTCTGTTGACGGCAAGATGAGAAACTTATTAGTTGTTACCTCAGAAGTATGTCTCTGTTTCTCAGCTCAGTTTTAAATACCATACTCGAACAGTTAAACAGTGATTCCACCTATAAAGCTCTTTATAAATCAGACACAAATAGTTTTGATGCATTTGAAGGAAATAAATGTCATAGCAATACTTTCTTTGTAATAGGGAAATTGCAGTAGTCTAAGGAAAGAAAGTGTCCTTCCTGAGGCAATGTATGTAAAATACTTTTTTAATAATAATTCTTGTGAGCCAGGATGACATATTGTACAGTAAATGCCTTCCTCAGTAATGTTCAGACTTCAAAATAATGGAAAAAAGTGCCACGATATTACCACAAGTACTGAACTTGTTGCAAAAAAATAATCGTTTTCTGTTTGTTTTGGTTTTCTCTTCCTATCGCAGTAAGTCAAGTTCTACTTTCCTTTTCCGTACTCCAAATCTGATGTAAGAGCAACTCAGTTGGCATCTCTATGGATTTCACAGAGGGGATCTGAGAGCAGAATGAGACCCAACATCTAGGTAAGTATTGACAATATTAAATGACAACTAAGGGTTCATGGCAGCGGTGTGATTTTGAAAAAGTGGCTGCAGAAATAATCCAACAGTCCCCAGGACACAAACAAGGACGAATATCCAGAGAAACAGCCTGTCCACTACCATGGCAACATACTTCCAATCTTCAATGACCTGGAAGAAAAAGCCAATTAAAGATATTAGCAATTTGTCATCTTCTTTTGCTCTTCCTCTTGCTAATGCTGAGTTTTTATTAATTAAAATAAACGGAAGCAAGTCTCAAGGTTCAAGGATTAAACTGACTTTAGGCTCGGGAAGGGGTTTTTTTCCTACCACCATTTTTCTCCAGGGCAATGGAGAAAAATACTGTAGATATTTTTTTGCTGTCATGGATGCATCAGGTACTGAGCATGGGTGCCGAGTGGAAGCCAGTGTAGAAGGACCCACAGTATAATCCAATTGAGGGGTTTTATTTTCTTTAATTTTAGTTTGCAGATGCTATTAATCTCAGTGGACAAAAATAGATGGTGTTTACTGCTGTTAAACAAGGTTAGCTTCACCGTTCTTTTCTTATCAGCAGTCATCTTAATCAAGGGTTTTAATGCATATTAATACTGCTGCTTTTATTAAAATCCCTTTTTACCTTGCATATGTTTTCTGTGAAAGTCATGGCCTTAGATTCTGTTCCCAAACTGAAGTGACTATCAGGTTATATTGTAAAGGCGGAATATATCAATCGTCATTTGCATCTCAGAAATGATTATTTTTTCCTCTCTCGTTGATTCTAATTACACATGAGGCATCTTCACCTCAATGACCTTACCATGCTTGTCAGTTATCTCATGTCTTATATTAGAACATTACATATTTTTTCCTTCAGTGCACACTTTTAATATGCACTGCTGCTAATGGGAATTGTGCATTTCTGAAATCAGACAATAGCAAATGTACATGAACAATTGTTATCAGACTGTGATAATGAAAGAAGAAAGCAGAGATTAAAATTACCAGTCTAGAAAAGAGGCATGTAATATCAGAGGAGACTGTGTGAAAAGCATTCAATTATTTTTTAACGTATAAAATACCCTTGAAAATTTTTCCATTTTTATCAGATGGAACCTTTGTATATCCTTTAGTGTGAAACACATTCTTGCAAGCATTTATGAGCTATTAGAAAACTTTTTTTCTGCTCTGTGAAGTCTGCTTCTGTTCAGTCAGTTTCAATGTTTACAAGCTCATGTCTAATGTTAATGGCTGATCTTTATTTATATTGACAGTAATTTCAGTTAATAGAAAACATGAGCTACTCGGTGACATGCTCCTTAAGGGAGTTCTGCAAGATCAGAAACCAGACTTTATTTAATCTGCTTGTCTGAGGGAGGGAGAGCACAACAGGAATAGGGAACGTAGGATCTGACCGGGATCTGGGTCAGGTAGAGGACACTGGTAGATATGAGGATGATTTTTTCCTAACCATGGGTTCTTGCTGAAACATCTGAGATTTTCCAAGCATTATTCACACTGTATTTATGCCAGCTCCAGTGTGCCAGCTAGTAGCATATGAGTAGGGCAAGTGAATAGGGCAGCAGCAGCACTGCTTAAACACTTCCTGGATAAAGTACTTCTCATAGCCAGTAACAAATCTGATTTAACTCAAATGAAAGAAGTGTCAGCTCTGCTGGCATTAGGATTTCAAGCCTGCCCATTGTGTTTGCCACATACGGACAGATATCTTAGCCCAGAGAGGGTGATTGCAAAGGCATTTTACCAACTTTACTAAATCCTCCTCCTATGCCCAGTCAGGTAAATAAATGCTTGAGCAGCAGGTAGGTTGTTTCTGGTTAACATGGCCTGACCATGAGCTGAGTCACAGTCTTACTGAGTACAATGGGGGAAAATATTCTTTTTTTGACCTGGCACTGAATACTACTTCTTTTCCGCTGTCAAGCATCACATCTTGAATGTGTCAACACACCTTTTTCCAGGGCGTTTTGTGACTTACTGAACAACCAACATTCTCTCTTTGTAGAAATAGCCATGTTACTTTCCGGGAGAGTATCAGCATTTACCACATTGCTATTCATTAAGTTCTTCTAATGGCAAAAATTACTTCCTTTTATAAGGTTTAGCTAGAATATCTCTAAAAATTTTAGAATAGCTAGGGAGTTCAAATATGCTTTCTGAAGAACAGTGTGTTACACAGGAGGGCAGGAGATGAAGTTTGGAAGGACCAAGATGATTTCTTATTTTTACTTACGCTCTGGTCATTGTCATCACTTTTCATGTGCTCTGCTATAAAACTGACTCCATCAATTGCTTCTTGGACTTCAGGAGAAAATTTTGTGCCTGTTCTTAACCTAAAATCTCGATGACTGCTGACATTGTCAAGAGTCTCTGTGATTTTCATATCGTATTTTTTGGCAGAGGCTGTATTCAAGAAATATGTAGAGCTCTTGTAGAAATCGGCTGGCTCTGTACAAGGATTCTCTGCTTTTGTCTTTTTGTAGTTGCTCAGCTTTTGCCGTGGAGAATTATTTTCTGGACGCTTCATGAACAGATAGGCTGGGAGTCTTTCAAGGAAAACCAGCTTTACCCAAGGGGGCATAGTGTGAGTACTTGGAGATCTGTGGTGGACGTTGAGTACACAGACACTGGTAACTATTGAGAAGGTCACTAGTACCATTGTAAACATGAGATACTTCCCAATCAGTGGAACATCTAGAGAGGTTGGAGGGACAATTTTGGAGATTAGCAGCAAGAACACAGTCAAAGCAAGCAACACAGATATGCATAAGGTCATTTTTTCACCACAGTCTGAAGGCAAGTAGAACACCAGGATGGCTAATGATGTAATTAGCACACAGGGAATGATAAGATTGATGGTATAAAAAAGAGGTTTCCTTTTAATAATGAAGTCATATGTCACATCAACATAATTGGGGTCCGAAGGATTTACAGTCCTTCTTCCTGGGAGTGCTACGATGTCCCACTCTCCACTTGGCGTAAAGTCATCCATACTTGCCATGGAAGTTTTAAGCACCATATCAATTTCTGTGTGATCGTATGTCCAAGACCGGAACTTTAATGTGCAGTTTTGTTGATCAAATGGGAAATGCTTAACTTCAATCTTGCAGGCACTCTTGTAAATGGCTGGTGGCAACCAGCGAATACTTCCATTATTCTTTACAATTGCATTTGTGTATAGTGAAACTTCGTATGTGCCATCCGCACTAATGAAGCAAGAGGAAAGAAAAAGGAGAGAAGATAATTAAACATTAAGAGGGGAAAAGTAGTTCAAAACAGGAGAGCTCTGGTATTCTTGGTTTTGTGGGCCTCAGTTGATTCTAAACTCAAAGTTTAGTCATATTTTGATTTTGAAATCTTTGTGGTAGGCCTTGACAGGGAGACTAATGTATGCATTTCTCTCAATCAGAGAGTTGATATTTGGTCCTATACTAAAAAAAATAATTATAAATTTATTATTAAATAGTAAATATGCATTTCTGTTTCATCCAAAGAACATGAAGTATTTTGCAAATGTTTGTTAAAGTAGTTAAGGCTTACTACATCTCTGAAGGCCGAGTAAAAATGGGATCATCCAGCATGAAAATAGAGATTCCTTTTATCTGGAACACAGCCACTGGTAAGAGCATGCAGCAACACTCCTAAATGACTTATGGGGGGAAATAAGGATAAGCAGCATCAGTTAGAAATGCAGGGAGAGTGTAGGCAGAGGAAACGTAATTATATTGTTTATAATTTACCATGTTACGCCAGTTAATGTTTACTTATTATTAAACCAGAACAGACAAGCCACAGTGTTCTTAGTCCCCACAAATAATCTTGGTTTTGTATCTTCTCCTGCTGCCACACTTCCAGCAGGAAAGTCTTCTACGTTATGATGGGCCCTTTAATTTAGGGAGAAGATCATTGTCAGTGTGGTCAATATTTTCTCCTGTTCAGTGTTTCTGGGCAGACAACGTAGGGCAGTTTAACCTATGAAGTATCCTGAGGTAGAAATGTGAAAGGGTCAATTGCTGATAAATATTCTTGACATTTAGTGTTCCTCAGCATGTTCACTGCATGGTCTTAAGTGTGCTAGGCAACACCTTTCAGACTCAGCCAATATCAGGCTACTAAAGGAAAGTGTTATAGTAGGAAGGAGCAACTATTAGTGGCTGTCTTTCTTGACAAATAAGGAAACTCAAAGGTTTGTTCCTCTGTCAATCAGTCACAAGGCTGCGTATGGACAGAGCTGTGGGACCTGGGGATACTATTTGTATTTTTCTTAGCACCTTCTTAAACTGACTGGTGCCTATGAAACACTGCTTCAGCAGCAGAAAGTTACGGGGCGGTTGTCCTTTATTTAAAATTTTAATTTGAATCTTTTTACTAATGTAAAGATCCAGTATGATGAGGCTAAAAGCTTGTGCTGGCACATTTAAGAAGCCTTCTAAAACTGTTTTTTCCATTCTTTCCAATGGATTGTAATCCATCAAATGATGCCGTCTCGGGAGTGAGGAAGAAGGAAGCAGAGGGCAGGGACACATTTTGCCAGAACAAGATTTGACCAGACATCCTAATCCACTGGCTGAATTATTTTATGTCTAATACAACAGTTCTAAGTATTTCTTAAATCTGATTTCCAGTAGTAGGATTCCAGGGTCTTAACTCAGTTATATATAAACTTTTGGTATTTTTTGTTTCCCATCTGTATATGTTCATAAACCATCATGTGTTCATTAATTCATTTGTTTTCAAAGTATCATGAAAGTATGTTGTAAGTTTTGATTATTCTTTTTTTCCCAAAGACTTGATATCATCCACTTCAGAGCTTTGCTAGAGACTTCAAAACAAAACGAAACAAATTTGGCAGTCAGCTGTTAGCTTGAAAGAAGAACTGAAGTATGATCTAGCACCAACCTTTTCCTTTTCTCAGTACTGTAAAGCACCAGGGTCAAGTGTTGACAAATTTATTATGTATTCTTATAATTGATTTTTTAGTGCTTTATGAAAACAGAACATTATTCGGTTTTGTAAATTAATATTAACTTGTAGAGTTCTGGTACGTATGAGTTTTGTAACAGATTTATGGCCTGGAGTCTGTGGTGGAAGGGGTGGGGAAGAAGTAGGAGACAAAAATGTAGCTCAGAACCTAAGATGTCCAATAGAATTCCAGTTGTATGGTCTTCTTGCAAGCGTGACCAGTGTATTGCTGTGCTTGTACTTACAATTCATGCTTTCCATATAATCCAGTTTGATATAGATCTGTGTCTAAATTGTGAGCCTTGTCACAGATCTGGTGGTGGAACAGCTCGCACTGCAGATGTGCTCCAGGGCTTCTGGAATTTCTTTAACCATAGCCATGATTTGACTAAAATTATCGTTGAGGCCAGTACCCCAGTCAGATATACTTGGTAGTGGCTAAAAGTTACAGAATTCAGTTTTAGAATTTTATCAGACCTACTTCATGCTTGTTTCTTGATGCACGGTAATTTTTGTTCACTGTTGGCATAAACTACAGAAGTTTTACTTACTTATTGTAAAGGACAATGTCTGGCAACCAGATGTGTTTTGCAGGTATTCTCAGCTTGTTTATTCCTTCATAGTCAGAAGGCTTCCAAGCCAAACGATAATCAATCCACTCCTAAGAGAAGAATTGTACAGTAGTGATGTGAGTATCCAGATCAGCACAAACGAAACAGTCACTGTGATGGAGTGAAAGCAGTTGCATTTGTGGTTTGCAAGAGCATGCCTCTGGGGTTTGATTACCTGGTTCAGCCAGACGTTTGTGGTCATTATCTGCTCCCGTTCATTCTGCAGGGAAGAAGAGAGAAAAAAGTAGTCCTCTAAAATAATTCACTCTATTGCTGTAATGAGATTTATTCAGTGGGCTTTTGAGGATATTTCCAACTGCACAACGTGATTTCGTCTAGTGTATTTCAAGACATGCATTTTGCTGCTGGTAAATGGCCAGTCTTGTGCATGTACTGATGATAAATAGTAACCCCACAAGTGCAGAGCTCCAAGTAGCTTTCAACAAGGACAGTTGTGACTGAAGGGAGCATGGCTATTTGGGAACAATTATCACCACTCTGCCAAGCTGATTTATTTTCCACCGTCCCTGTGGATTTGACTTGAAACAGAAGGCACATTTGACTGCCAGAAAGACCTAGATAAACTTGTGTGAGCTTTATGTGAGGTCTGCCGTGTAAGCTCTCAGCTGGCAGGCTCTGCTTCATGGAACTGCTGTCTCTCTGGGCAGCAGTCCAGAAGACAAGTCTCTCTGCAGCCAGTCTGTGTGATTTGGGCTCTATTGAAGGGAAAAGGTAGCAGGTCAAAGAGTCAGGAGGATTTCTGCAGGAAAACAAACTAATTCTCTGATCCTGGAGATGCTTGGGGTTGTTAGAGCTTATAAGATGCCTAATTGTGCTTTCTGCTTGAAGAGTGAGGAACAGCGACTGAGTTGTGCCATTCTTGATCCTTGCCCATACATCTACTCTGTTTAGGTGGTTGATTTCTGGGGCCTGCTGGGGCAAGACGCCTTGCTTTTTATGCCCAGAACCTGCAATCTGGGAGGACACCGTGCTAGTGGCGGCAGTGCACTGTGTGAGGAGCCGTGTCTGTGTCCAGGTGGCATGTTCCAGGAGAGAGGGAGCACTTGTCCCAGAGTCATCTGGTATACATGACAGTATATCCCGTAAAAATCAGTCTGCACGTGTGTATGGAAGCTCGTATTTTTGTAGTTTCCCCTATGTTCCATCAGTGTATCTCTCTTTTCCCTTGAATTTCAGAATATAAATTATATAGGTCTCCAAACTCGCAGCAGTCCAGTCACTGGCCCATACACAAACTCTGGCAGGAACGCAGTCATCTGTATCCTCTTTTTTCATCCAGGGAGAGAGCAGCAGAGATGAAAGCCCTGATTCAGGAAATTATTTCCACTTCTGTGCTGGATCTTGTTCCCACTGCAGTTAATGCTAAACCTCTCTTGGTATTGAGGTGTGTATTTGTACCTTGGAAGAGCTGTTAAACACTTGCTAACACTGTGAGTGAAAATGTATTCTAGCCCCATTGAAGTGATTTCTATTGAATATGAGGAGTTGCTTACATGAGGATTGTTTTAGCCGTGTTAAGCTGTTCCAGCTGGAACTAATGGGTCTTTTTCTTTACAACATTTCACAATTCTTTGCAGATATGCCATGAGATTTTGATCTGGCTTCATAGCTTCTTTTCAGGCCAGTCAACCGCATTGCTTTGATGCAAGCAGCAGAAGATGGTTTAGCATCATGTACACAGTCCAGGATAGATCCTGACCTGTTGTAACTTACTGTAGGTGTACTGCAGTCAGTGGAATGGTTTTGATTTTCTGATCAATGGAATTTTATTGAATGAAGATCTGGCTGCTGTTGTTTATTGCTTAGGCATAGTTTGATCTCCCTGTTGCAGCTGCATTCTGAAGTATAAAACCAGTAAATTTCATGTACTACTAAGTATTCTTAAATAAACTAGAAAATAACAGGAACATAGCCGTATCAGTATGTCTTTTACTTAGAGTGCTGTGCAGGTAGTAATGAATTAAAAGGCATAGCCTAATTTGAACTTACCACGCTGATGAGCTGTGCCAGGGAAACCTGCAGTTCTATGGAAACCAACTGGGATGAGTTGACAGCTGGTCGAATTAACTTATTGTACCTGTCAGGACTCAGTAGGTGGCTCATTAGCTTTTCTTCAGCATCCGCTGCGGTGCTTCCTGTAAAACATCACATAACAGGATTATAGGAGGGAGACCAAGTGACAAGATGTAGGGATCACAGAATTTCTGCACATCAGATTGTCTTCATTAAATAATGAGGGCTTTTGATTTTGTAAAGACTGTAGACTTGTGTGAACAGAAAGATACGGGGCTTGCACCAGTATCTATTCTGCTGGAGTTGACTGCCTTTCACAGAGCATAGATCAAAGCAGATAAATCAGAACCCTTTGGGTTTTTTTTTCACCGTAAAATGGGAAGCTCAAATTGATGGATACTTTTGGGAGTACATTCTGAAATAGAAACTGGGAGCAAGCCACCTGCTTAATAACAGAGGAAGAATGTTTCAACACTCCAAATGCAGAGAGTCCAGCTGTGACTTCTCTCATTAGTGTTGCAGGAAGCAGAGTTACAGGCACACGTACAGACTGAAAGACTCTGGTCTGTGTAGGGGAAGCCGTGGAATGAGCTCGAGGAGTCATAAGAGTTTTTTAGTGATTGAGAGCTCTTTGATGTCTAGTCATGTTTCTGTTTCAGAATTATTCTATTTGAAAACCTGAAGCAGTGTGTGACCCTTATTTTATGTGAAAAGAAAACTTGATTTATGGTCTAGCACAAATACTGTAAATCTTAGATGGCCAAAGCTGAAGTTCAGTGACTGCAGATTATAGTATCTGCAGAATACTATCAAACAAGCCTGAACACTCTCCATGCAGCAGAACAGCTTACGACACAACCCCAAAGGTAAATCCGTCTGCTATGTTCTTGCATGTACTTTTTAAAGCCATTCCAGTGGACTTTTTAAACTGCTATTGACCACATAATGTTGATGACTATACGGTCCAGGTAACATCCTGCCAACAGAACTGACCAGAGAGGTTCTGTGGTGTGTTGACTAATTCTGTGTTGCGTTATATGGCTGACAGTGATGGACACAGGTGTTAATGAAAGCAGACTTTCATCCAATTGATAGAATGAGTCTTCCTTAGGAAAGAGCATTTAACCCTAGATACTGCCAAAATGAAGATAGTGTCCCTACAGCATACTTGCTTCATTATGCCCCAGAGCAGTTCCACACAGTAAAAACCACTGGCCATGCGAGTACTTTAAATTCGTGGTACATGAATTTGTTCTGGTTTTTATGTTGTAGCATATCCATGAGATCCAGAGAAAGGCAGACATCAAAAGGCCAGGATCACATAAGCAGCAGAAGACTGTGTGTACTTCTAGAAGGTGCCTAGTTTCCCTGTGAACTGGGCTGAACGTGCTAGGGGGAGCATGTCTCTCTTGACAATTGGTACTTCTGAATTCCAATCAGATTTTAAAAACACTATAAGAAGTTATTGTTTCTGACACACTAAGAGAGGGGGGAGACTTTCCTTTTACAAGGAAACATAATTGAACAGATTTTTCACATCTAAGAACAGCTTTTACTCAAGGGGAAAGATTGAGATAAACACCAAGCTTGTTTTAATTCTTTTAAAGCCAGCATATACTATGTCATTGGTAGCACAAATTTTGTCACATATGCTTAACATAGCATTGTTCTTCAGTGCAGGCATCTCAGGTACCATTTGGGAAAACAAATTGGGATGAATACATCTGTGTTTGTCGGGTCGGTTTGTTTTTTGATTTACGCTTGCTCTCTATGTCCCTGCAAGTCATTATAAAAGCTCTAGTCCCATGTGATATTTTAATATTACAGTTATTCTCAGTGTAAGCCTGCCTAATCAAAGGCTTATCAAGCTAGAGCTATGCTGATCCTTGCTAAGCTCCAGATTCTGTTTTTTTCTTGTATATTGCAATCAAGATAAAGCTATATTTGATACTGTGAAGGAAATGGGGCACCACATGCTGGGAATTAATCGTTCTGTATTTATAAGGATAGGTGAGAAGCCTTGTGGTAGCTAAAGAGAGAATCTTGGCTGAACTTATTTTTTAGTGTTGGTTCGGGTTTGGCTTGTTTTAACAAATATTTATTGCTGTTGCATGTGTAAATGACATAAACTGATGGCTATAATTCAAATATAAATAGTAATTTGGTTTGTTTCATACGGTGGTCACTGAATGCTGCTAGCAAAACCAGTGAATTCTTGTTGGAATTGATAAATATGCTTTCAATGTGTCATCATCTTCTCCTGTAAATATTCTAACATACGGAGTTTTTGCTTAACAGTGAGTAAGAAGAATATTTGCAAAAAGCTAATTCTGAATTTGTAATAATCCTATTCTCTGAAACCTGGTTATAGTAATCACAGTCATCTGGTCTGCAAATCAGAACATACAGCGGGGCCTGCATGTTTGATGAGAAGAGCTCAGGTCTCGAAGTACTGGCTCTGTCAATAGGCTTCCTGCAGATGAATGACAGGCCACCACTTAATTAGAAAAAAATTATTTGTTAAATAATGAATCCCTTTAAGAAATTACTATCTGTTCTTAGGGGAAGGGGTCCTGTAATGAATAATTCCTTATAAAATTGTCATCCTATTGCAACCTTTGATTAACTTATTAATCAGAAATGAAGATTGAAGCAGCTACGCTCATCTCATTCAGATGCTTGAATCAAGTACCACTAGATGTCAGCAGTGCACTGCCTTAAAGGTTGCTAAATCCCATCTCTGTAAATAACGTAAAAACCAGTGATTCCTGTATAATTTTTACAATCTATTTTCCGTTACCAATCTCTATATTAACCAGATGGCACCTAATGAAAACAAACTTACCAGGCACTCAAGTTCCTCTTTAAATGCATTTCATGATGTCAGTAGCCATGCATTTGAAACTCCTCTTTTTCATCTCACAGTTGGGAGAAATGGAAATGCACAGTTTCCTTGCAAACCAGTTTTCCAAATAGCAGTAATAACCAGAAATGTTGCAGAGGGTAGACCGCTGCTTTTAGACAAATTATTTTACCAAGAATGATGAAGCATGCCTAATTGGGGGGTGGAGTATTTTTGTGTACTGAAAGCAATAATAGTGGAAGCACATTGGGGAGGATCCTAAGCTGGGGAAATTGTTTTAGCTCCACTGAACACGCTACGCATCTGCTCCATGACAAAGAGAGCAAATTGCCACATAACTTGCAGTACACATTCTGCAGTAAGTTTGTTTTCTCTGCAGGAGTATGAGGAGTATTTTTCACAGCAAAAGAAACAGAACCAGACTTCATTCACTCCCCTGTGCAAAGTTTCCCTTTTACATGGTCTAACTTAAATATATATGAAATACAATAACCAGTCATCCTGTGCTATGTTGTTTATTTTCTGTTTAATGACAAGTATGTTGGAGTGATTTCCACTAACCAGAATAAGGAGCAGTGTTGACAAATACAGGCAAGTGCACTGTTGTCGCTGCCTAAATTGCAAGACTGAACATAAGGCACATTTCCTCCTTTTCCCAGACTTCAGTTGTTTTTAGTAAATGGTGAAATAGCTTTTGTTTATAAATAATGTATTGCAGAATATGTTGTCATTTTTGTTCTTTCCTCTCTCACAAATAACTTATGTGGACAATGGTGACATAGCAAATTCCCAACTGTACTTAGTAAAGAGCAAGCAAGAAGCAGCAATAAGACAATCCCATTATCTTCTCTGAAAATACTTCATAATGTTGCTACTTCTCAGCATATTCTTGTGTAAAGGTGTTTATACAGCCTCTTAGAGCACCCTACGATAGTTTGGAACGCTTCTTGTTCCAATGGAAGTAGTGGTGCATTTATTATATTTTAAAGATTGTTTTGATTTCTACACTGTGATTAATACAAATGAAAAGGAAATACTAATGGGTTTAAAGGTGTGTAATCTAAGAATCTAAAGCAGATCCTCACTTCATTTGTTACAAAGCAGATGTTTTCTAAAATTGCCTTTCAGTGACTGAAGAAGCAAAACAGCTGTGGGATGCACAGGTAATTATGGGAAAGATGTCATTTTTGTCTCGATTCAGTTTCAGCTGGTTTCACTCTACACACTTCAGTGGGGTTTCTCTGTGGGAAGAAGCTCCCACGGTAAATGCACTATTTCATCCTGCTGTTGGGCTGTGCGTGTTGGCTAAAACGTAGGCAAATAATCCTAGTGGACAAAAGGAAATGTTCTTAATGTAGGTTTGTGGTTTTTTTAGCATTTATTTACATATTTCAAGTTAATTTAAACTATTTACATACTAATCAAACAATTGGGAAGTATGAGCTTTGCAAGATGTATGAACTTAAACTAATAATTGCAGAAGAATAAGATCTGCCTTATTTATAGTTCATGTCATGGTTCATTTTTAATATTTTTGCTCTCAGCACAGTACCGGCTTTTCCCTTCACAGATGATCCTGGCAGCTTCTAAAGGGATATTATTTAGTGTAAAGGGATATTATTTAGTGATTATGATTGTCATCTCCTACTGTTCTGTCATTTTATGTCCAACTTACTGTCTCTTTGTATCCATCGTGGATTTGCTGCTACTGAACAAGCCAGAAACAACACTAAAATAATCAATTTAATGCATCCTCTTAAAGTCTACAACCTACTGAGATGATAGTTACAAATTGCCTGAGAGCTTATATCACAGTCATGCCTCCTAGCCCCGAAAGCTATCCCAGCTCTGCAAACTGTATCTGAAAGAAAAGATCACTTACCGTTAAAATAAAAGGAGCCCACTACAAAGAGAAAGAGGGTGTACATATTCCTCGTGAATTATTGTTCTTCAATTAAGACAGCTGTCAATAGGCTCTGTTGTCAGGGATGTGCAAGGAAGAGATGTAAAAGCAAACCTGAATCTTGGAGGTATTAAATGCCTGGAAAGAGACAGACAGTAGGACCTGGCAGAAGCATTCTGCAAAGTGGAGTTTTCCTGAGCGTAATGGTCCCTCCCCCTTTGCAGCTGTTTAAAGAGCTTTGTGAAGAGGAAATGCACGTAAGAAGAGGGAACATAATGTGATAATGTGAATAAGAGGATATGAAAGAGCAAACTAAAGAATATGATCTGCAAAACACAATGTGTTTGCTTAATTCTTGCTAGAATAACATTTAGAAGGCTTTCTGGTTAATAAGTGCAATGGGTAGGAATAGCTGTGTGGGAAGAGCTGGATATAACTTTGTGCCATGAGACCTGTTAGTGAAAGACATGTCAGTAAATTATAGCCCTAGCAGAGGGTAATCTGTGTCAAGAGAAAAAGTTGATTGCCTACTGCCAATCCTTTTCCATTCCAAGGCCTACGCGTGTGATCTCTCTGAACTAGAACTCCAAAAGGCTTTTTGGGAGCAGCAGGAGAGGAACAGAGAATTTGTTGTCATTAGCATTTGACAGGATTATTAAAAGAAAGCTAAAGTGGCATGTTGAGAAATAGCAATATCTATAAAGACACTCCAGAGAAGCATTAGAGAAATTCTATGGAAGTAATCTTTTACAGTTGAAGGATTCAGCAGAGTATAGAGTATCATGTGTTTAGGGACTTGCCATGGCAAGATTTGTGTAGAAGGAAGGGGAAAGATGATCTTATATGCTCTTTCTAAGCATTGTAGGACAGGATGAAGTCCTTAGATAAAAAAAAAAAAAGGTGCTTATCTTCCAAGTACTGTTTTATCTCCATACTGAGGTTCCTCTCTGCTTCAGTTGGCCACAGGATGCAGTTCTGCTCTTGTCTCGGGTCCCAGCAGTCTAACACCATTGTCTGAGGTGGATGCATTCCTGATTTACCAGCATGACATGCCAGTCTTCTGCATCTACCACAGTTCCTGCCCGTCTGGGGTTATTTTGGGAAGGTCACAAGCTGCTGCTGTTTTTAGTCAAGCTGTCAGTGTAGTGCCAAACAATTAATTGCCTTCTCCCTAAACATTTTAGCCATCTTCCTTTTTTCACCAAATATGCCAGTGTGCTGTAACTTCATTGTCTTTAAGGGAGCTGCCATCAGAGGTAGCCCAATACATAAAGAGAGTCTACTAAAATTCTCAGTAAGTATACTCTCTACAATGTATGTAACTCCTCTAAACAGTCTTACTTACTATTTTTGGCTCATTTCTTTAGGGTAGGAGGATGGATTCAGTGAGACAAATGGAAAAGCACTCACTGTATGGACTTCTGCTTGGCTAAAACAAGCTGTTGCAAGTCAGCTTTGATGAAGTGGCTTGTGCTCTTGCCTATTGCTACTCTGAAAACTCAAGGTATTTCAACTATACCATATTCGCTACTGAGGATTCCCAGTTGTTCTTTAAAAAGCTCACAGCCTTCTACCATGAGAAGAATGGTTTGTACCTTCCCACCTTTTTTCACCTGCAATCTTAATTTCCTTTAATATACCATGCTTAGTTATATTCTCTCAGGTCTTATAGCATTTTTAACTTTAAAAAAATTAGACTTTGATCTCTTATAACTACTAAACTTGTAATTTTGTTTAGAGATGTATTTATTGCAGATTAATGCTATGCAAATATCTCAGATGATAAGTTCTGTGGACTATGTAGGCATTGATGGTTGATGACTTCTGTATACTCAAAAAACTTCTACAGCACACTGTTGCTTGTTGTTAGCCATACCAACATGAATGTGCTGGTTTGGTTGCTTATCTTAATGATTAGGTCCAGCCTAGTATCAGAGATCCTCCAATTCTTACCTCAAAATATTGTGGGAACTAAGAGGGAGGAGGAATGGTTCCAGTGAGACAGATAGGAGAATAGTCCTTGTCAGGACACCTACATGGATGAAAAAAGCCAGTGCAATCCTAGTGAGTACATGTGAATATACTAACTGCATGAGAATATAATACTATTTCTCTGCTTTCTTCCAGTATTTGATTAACAGCATGTAGAAATGGAGCCTTTCCACAGAAAATTACCCTCTTGTAATAGTCACAAACCCTAGGAGGTGTGTCCCAAGCAAAGTGTTTATGCTGAGCCCTCCTCTTCTTACTTCTCCCTGCAATGTGCTTGGCACGTACCTTGTCAGAGGCTTGTATGGTCAGAGACCTTGCTACACACTTGAGCCTGCTGGGCAACATTGTCTTTCATAATGTATGGAAAATTGCTCTCAAGGACCTGTGCCTTCAGTTACTAAGAGTGTGTTTGAGCAAAGCACCGGTCTCCTGGGGAAGAAAGACTGCTTCTGTTTCTCTGTTTTCACTTTCTGGTATCTGATCTATTGCTCCTCAAAGGCAAATCTTCCATCTGCTAACCCAGCCTCTGTGCTTTTGCAGCAGTTACAGGAGTAACAGATGAATGGAGCCTGAATTTAGTGCACTTGTATCATCTATGCTGCTTGGTGCTTGAGAGTTGAGTAGCAGCTCAAGATGTAACAAAACAGATTGGGATTGCTTCACCAAAGCAGTGAGCCATCACAGAGCCAAAGGGTCACAGATCGTTCACTGACTGCACTATTTTTGCTGCTGACGCTGAGGTGGACAGGAAGAATTCCTCCCTTTTTCATTCACTTGTGTTCATTCATTCTCACAGATCGCTGAAGGTCTTATTTGATTGCTTGTGCTATGCAATCATTTCCCCCACAGTGGTACTGCAGGATTCCATTTGTTCATTAAGTTGAGATACTGAAATAATAGACATTTGCATATATGATATTCTGGATTTGCATGTTAATACGGCGTGCAGGCATGGGAATAGCGTGGCAGAGAGGCGTCCACTGAACTGGCTGAGGGTTTGTTCCTGGTACTGTAATGCTCTGTGTGCTTTAGGGTATTAGAACTCTTAGGAATGGAAAATGTCCAAGTGCCCAGGAAAACTGGCAGTCCCCTTTTGTGGATTTATCATGGTGATTTCAAGGCTGCCACTAGCATTAGGAAAGTACCAATCAGAAATGCTGGAGCTTTTGAAGTGGAGGCAACCTGGTCTTGAGCTGGCTTCCTTAATAAGACAGGTACAGGTATAAGGAGACTGCCGCAAAAACAAATGCTTCCAGGTGGAAGGCCACAGTCACTTTCCAGTAGTTGTGACACTGAAATGAAGTTCAGGGATGAGCTAATGGCTAAACTGAATTGATAAAGGACTTCAGATCAGCTTGTTAAACACTGGCCCTACAGAACACATAGGACTGACTTACTGTTGCACTAGCAGTACAGCTGTCACTTTCTGGATGAAAATTGCTACAGAAAACATCAACTAATGGCAAGTTTTGTTTTTCTAGCACCTTACGTCTGAATGAACTTTAATGATATCTGCCAAGGTCCTGACTCATTTCACCAACAGCACAGCATACTTTACTCTCTGATCAGTTGAAAAATGGAACCTCTTACAAGTAACTTCTGCAAATATCTAACATCACCCCTGAAGGTAAAATTATAGTTTTCCCTACTCACCACTGTCTAAATAAGCTCATTAGAACAGCTGTGCTGGAGCTAACATTCTGCATTCCTGAAATTTTTTTCCATTTTTTTTCCACTTACAGTCCCATTAGTGATGTGTGATACCTCAGCCGTTCTGGTGCTAATGTTGTTGGGTTAAGTTGTGCAGCTGCAGCTTCATTTAATGGTGCTGCAGTGTGTCCCCATTTAAAGTCTGCAAGGCAAAACAAAACTGTGACACTGTAGTTCCAGTAGCTGTCTGCTGCATGAGCCTAGCTGGGTCCTCACACAAAATAACTGTAGAAATCAGTGGGAAGGGCAAGGATATGTGGAATATTTGGTCTGTTGTAATCTAAAGCTTAGGAATTTAGTATGCTTTTTTGGATTAGTATTTATGCTGGAGAGCTAGTATTCATCCAGAGACTTACTCTACAGCGATGGACCATGTCTATGTGGGTAATTATGTCATAAAGTCCATTCCCTACTGCACTTCTGTAATTACACTTGCCTTGCCAAATAGGTTCTAACCAATATGTACAGGTAAATACCTGTACATATTGGTTGTCTTCAATACAACAATACAAGTTGTCTTCAGGTAAGGTATAATACCATCACACTTTTGCAGATGATGGTGCGAAACAGAGCTGTGGATGCTACCAAATTATCAGGTGAATAACACCCCTTTAGGATTTCAAATGATGATGCTATATGTTGGTGCGTGATTTGTCATCACTTTAGAATCTGCTCCAAACCCACAAAATGTTCCAGGAAATTGCCACTAATAGCATTGTGACAATGTTAATAACACAAACAATGCATACAAACGACCTGGTCGCAATGGATACAATTCCAGCTTTCATCATCAAAATATGAATAATTATGGATTGATCAAAAGCCATGTTTCTGCTCTGCAATATGTCTGATGGCAAAGTCACTCCTGGAAAAACAATGCTGTCCTTTTTTGGTTAATTTTTTAAAGTTTTCAACATATGCTTTGTGAGCTAGCAAGGGAGTTATGGTTGTAGAGTATTTAAGACAATAATATTTAAGCCTCTACATTCACTGATTATCATCAACATTTTTAAGCTCCAAACTGCACAAGTGTAACAAGTCTAGAGAATTCTCCAAAGCACTGCAGAAGCAGCAGCTGAGGGTGGTTATGCTATTTAGGAGCTGATGCTTTTATTTTTATCAGTCTCTTTCACCTCCTCTAACATGCTTTGAGATTCATTGCATTGTAATCTGTTGACTACCTAAGGTATGACTGTCAAACAGTCATATATTCTTTGAAACCCTTGTAAATGCAGTCATAGCCATTTTTGTAATGCCTTCAAATTATTATTTAGTAATGAAATTAATAAAAAGAAGCTAAATACATGAATGTTTAAGAACACATCTTCACCAATACCAGTGTGTTCCTATATAGAATCATAGCATGTATTGGGTTGAAAGGGACGTTTAAAGATCACCCAGTCCAACCCCCCTGCAGTGAGCAGGGACAATGCCTTCTCTTCTCTAGGCTGAACAACGCCAAAC